ACTCCTAATACTTTGGACTTGCTGGAGTGAGTGAGGGCACTGGTGCCTGTGCAGTCTATAAAAGAACCCTGCCTGGGGCCAGGGGCTTTGTTCTCAGTCATCTGAGTTTATCCTTTGTAAAAGAATTAATTTTTATACATGATATTAAATAAAGATTTCATTCATATGCATATTGATATCTGATTTCCCCAGCCCCCATTGTTTAAGGCTGTCCTTTCCACTTTGAACGGTCTTACTACCCTTGTCAAAAATTATGTGTCCTTGTGCAAGGGTGTTTGGGTTCTTTGTTTGCTTCTGTTGGTCAGTAGGACTGTCTTCATGACAGGACCACTCTGGTTTGATGACTGTAGTAGCTTTGCAGGCTTGGGTTAAACACACTTGCTGTTCTTGCATAGGACCTAGGTTCAATTCCCCAGTAACCACATGATGGCTTGCAACCATCTGTAACTCCAGTGCCAGGGACTTTGACACCCACTCTGACACACACACACACACACACACACACACACACACACACACCATACAAGCAATATATCCATACATATAAAACATTTAAAAAGTACAACATGAATTTTCAGCTTTATCCTTTTTGTTTTTGAGTTCCCCTGAAATTATGTGAATTTTAGCATGGATTTTTCCATTTCTGCAAAAGGTATCATTAGAATTTTGATAGAAGTTGTACCAAATTATAAATCCATTTGTGTAGTATCAGTAGATGGATATCAATTTTTTCAGTTCATGAACATGGACTGTGTTTATATTTATGTCTGCTTTATCAATGTTTTATAGTTGTCAGTATGTCAGTCTTTCTCCCTGTTAATAGTTAGAATTTCTATTGTTGTGATAAAACACTATGACCAAAAGCATCATCTTATAGCTTATAGTCCTTAATCTAGAGAAGTTGGGGCAGGAACCTAGAGGCAGGAGCTGATGCAGAGGCCATGGAAGGGTGCTGCTTACTGGCTTGCTCCCCATGGCTTGTTCAGCCTGCTTTCTTACAGAACTCAAACCAGCCCAGGGGTGGCATTGCCCATAGTCAGCTGGGTCCTCCCACATCAGTCATCAATCAAGAAAATATATCACAGACTTTTCCAGAGACCTATCTGGTGGGATATTTTTCTCAACTGTCCCTTTTCCAAAATGACTGTAGCCTGCATGAAGTTGACATAAAAACTAGCACAGCCCACTTGGCTAATTGCAATTTCTTGTCTTGTTTTCTAGGCTGACCTTGAACTGTGTGACCCTTCTACATCAGCCCTCTGAGTGTTGGTGTTACACTTATGCACTGTCATGCCTGATATATTTGATTCTTTTTGATACTATAGTAAATGATACTATCATTAGTATATAGAAATGTAACTGAGTTTGTATATTGCCTTAAATCTTGCTACTTTACTGAATTGGTTTACTGTAGCAGTTATTTTCTTTTGTATGTGTGGAATATGTAGGATTCTTTTTTTCTTTTTTGAGACAGGGTCTTGTGTGCCTCAGTCTGTTCTCAGACTTCCTATGTAATCAGAGATGACCTTGGATTCCTGATTTTTCTCCTTCTGCCTCCTGGGTGCTGGGATTATGCATGTGTGTTACCATACATGTTTTATGTGGTGCTGGGGATTTATGTGGTGCTCAGCAAGCACTGTACTGGCTAAGCGACAACCCCAACATAGGGTTTCCCACATATAAAACATGACCCATGCACAGAGATAATTAGTAGTCAGTTCTCAATTCACCTTATTAAGGCGGGGTCTCTCTTACCCTGTCATGGGCTCCAAGCTGGCCCGTGAACTTCCTGGTGAGCCTGCTTTCTCTGCCTCCCATCATGCTGTAGGAGTGTTGGGATTCCAGGTGCATGCCACAACATCCAGCTTTTTTACGTCAGTTGCTGGGTTGGAATTCAGGTATCTAGGTTTGCTCAGCAAACACTTTAACCTGCTGTACTAGTTGCTGTTCAGTTGTAATGAAATACCATTGTAGGGAGACACCCTAGCCCCGCCCAATAGTCCTGGGACAGGTGTCAGGTGGAGCTGGGACTCGCCCATAAGGTGAAGGAAAGCCGGGGTGACGTGTAAGGGAAGCTTCTTAAGGGCTGCACGTGGAGACTCTAGCTCCTCTCTGGCCGCGCTAGCTGGGTTCCTGTGACCTCGCTCTGGTCTGCTTTTTGCCCTGGTGCTTTCTTGAATAAAGAAATCTTACCATCACGGACCAATTCATCTTTGAGCGCACGCTGCACACAATAATCATCATACCATGACCAAGGCAACTTGAAGAAGAGTTTGACGGATAGGAGACCGTCATGGTGAGGTGGGAGTACAGCAGCAGGTGGTAGGCATGGTGGCAGGAGAGGAAACTGAGGTGATATCTTCAAATGTAAGCAGGAAATTGAGAGAGCAAGCAGGAAGTGGGATGAGGTTACTAATACTTAGAGGCCACCCAAGTGAGGCACTTTCTCCAGCAAGGCTTACCTCCTAAACCTCCCCAGGCAGTGCCAGCAACTAGGGACAAAGTGTTCAAATACCTGAGCCTGTGGGGGCGGGGGGGCATTCTTATTCAAACTGCTACACCTGCTGAGCCATCTTGCCAGCTTCCATTTCTAATCTGGATATCTTTGATTTCTTTTCCTGCCTAAGCACTCTGGCTACAGTTACTAGAACTGTGTTAAGTACTAGGAGCAAATGTGGGCACCCTTGTTCTCAATCTCAGAGGAAACTGTTAGCTTTGAGCACAAAGCTGTGGATTTACAAAATGCATTTCCGCCGGGCGTTGGTGGCGCACACCTTTAATCCCAGCACTCGGGAGGCAGAGGCAGGCGGATCTCTGTGAGTTCAATACCAGACCAGGCTGGTCTCGAACTAGTTCCAGGACAGCCTCCAAAGCCACAGAGAAACCCTGTCTCGAAAAACAAAAACCAAACAAAACAACAACAACCCCCCCAATGCATTTCCATAACCATTTCTTTTTCAGTATCAGATATTAAATGGTTTTGTAGAGACTGACTTCTTACTTCAGAAACACTTAGCTTCCCCATCTTTCTCTGGCATTCTCTAAGTCTATTCTCTCTGCCTATGCAGGTCTTCCGCCTGCCTGAGCTTTCACAGCTGGATGACTGGGTGAAATAGTAAAATGTTTCTATTTCCTTGCTTCTCATAATGCACCCCTGCTTTGAACCGATACAATCACCCCTACAGAGAGTGAAAGACAGCTTTGAATAATGATGTGACATTCACAGTATCCAGAGGTTGCACTTTCGGCTAACATATATGCCATCTCTTCATGAGATATGGAGATGAGCCTGTCTTTTTTGTAGACTGAACTGTAGACTTTAAGGATATTGAACTTGTGTTTGAATACAGGGGCTGTACCTAAGACTAGGATGCAGGTCCTGTTGGTATCTGGTGTTTTTTCTTTTTCTTCCTTTTCTCTAGAAAATAAAAGCTATTCTAAGCCAAGTTGGGGACAAAGTCAGAAGAGTTTAAGCAGAGGGACATCAAACACCACAAGGGACATTTCCAGAGCTTAGCCCTTCTGCATCCTGGCAAGGTGGAAACATTGTGTTTAGCAGTGTGTTTTCTTGGCCTTGGTTTGCCTGGGAGGGAGGCAAGAGTATTTGAGAATCATTGCCCGTCAGTGCACTTCTTCCTTCCCCCTTCCCACCCTCTCAGAAATGCAAGCTCTTCCATTTCTTCCTCTCATTTTACCCTCGTAGCTATTTGTCTCTGTTTCCTATAGACTGGAAATATAAATTCCAGACATGTACTCAGCTTAACAAAATCCTACCACAATAAAGTAGTTTAGCTGTCCTTGGAGTTTGTTATAATGGAATTTTACTTGTATTGCCCTGGCTGGGGAGAAAAGTAAACTTGTTAAAAGGAGGAATGTAATCTGGCAGCCAGGGAAGAAGCAGATGGTATGTGTGCCCACCCTTCCCCACTTGGAAAACGCATCACTCATTTCTAGCACTTTCTTTTGGATCCTAGAATTGTTTTTCTTTTGGGGGAAAAAAGGTTTCTAGATTTTTTTCTATTTAAAATTCCAGACAGAGACATTAAAAGGGGTTGGGGGGGGGCACAAATTCCCTCTTGTTGGTTTAAAACCTAATCCGTAACCCAGAGGCTTTATTTGTGAACACTTTCTCCTACCGAAGTAAAGAGACCAGAAGGTTTTGGCATCTGGAGAACACAGCATTGAGCAGGTTGCTGGGGATGGACAGTGCAGAGAAACCAGGAGCTCATGGAAGCTGTGTTGTTTGTATCTTTATTTCAGAGTCTGGGCCTGGAGGTGGGAGTTGGGTACCGCAGGTCACTCCACTTCAGGAATTAGGCAAACTCAATAAAGCAATAGCATCTTGTAAACCAGACAGGGGCCTTGATGGATGACTGTGAGAGGAGTTGATTCCAGTCAAGAAAGAGGGTGGGAACTCACTGTCCTCTGAAAATGTGTAGGAACGTGCTTAGGGCGAGGAGTCGATTCTAGCAATATGAGGAGCCTGGGGGAACAGGGAAGAAACAGAAGCTTTAATTTGAGGATAAGTGAAGGAGTGACTTCTTGAGGACCAGTGTCATGGCTGGACCAGCTTTATGACCAGATAGCTCTGTTGTAGGGTGACATCCCCCTTCTGGGATCTCATGGAATAAAGAGGTGGTAGGAACAGTAGGCATGGATAGGCCCAGGCTGAGTGGAGGGCTGGGGTACTTCTGTGGGATGTCCAACCACATAACAGAAGGAAGAAGTCTATTCTTCCTTTCCCTCTTTTCCCTTCCACCCCTCAATGGGATTGAGTCAGGGGAGGAGACAGGTCTGCAATGTGAGGTACGGTAATTTGTCTGTGGGACGGTAATTTGTCTCTATCTACAGGTGTGAAAGGAATGATCACTATGAATCCAGGTCGCTAGTAAGCTGTTTTTGTTTTTTTTTTTTTCTTGTATGAATTCTAATCCAGTATATCTTTGGAGAATGATGACACATTATTGCTGTTTTGGTTCATGGGTCAAAGAAAGGAGACATTACAGCACCGAAGAGCAAGCGGCACACATACCCGAGAAGTAGGACACTCCAGTGTACTTGGTGATGTCCATTTTTGGCGGGATGTCCTGGGATAGTCCTCTCCAGCCCAGTGGACTGCATACTTTCCCCTTTGGGGAGTGTTCCAGTTTGCATGGGCCTAGGGCTTTGGCACAGGGCCTCGTGTTTCCAGCCTTTAACTTCTTCTCTTCTATCTCATTCTTCAGCTTCTTGTTTTCTTGCTGCAGATGGACCATTATGTTGTGGAGTTGGCTGTGGGGGAGAGGAAAGTGAGGAGGGCAGGTGGGTGTTTGATCTACTTAGCTTGGCTTCTCGATGGAAAGAACCCAGAGGGTGTCACACGAGAGGGGTGAGGAGGGCCCACTTTTTCAGAGCTGACTTCTCACATATACCCTGTACAAATGGAGGACAACCTGAACCCCATGGAAGAAGCTCAGACATGGGGGTGAGGAAGACCCAGGAAGAAGACCCACTCTGCCAGTTCTGGGCCTCTAGTCTATGTTTTTTGATGGGGACCATTAAGCCTGACTTGTCTGGTGTTTATGGAAGGATTCAGTTTGACAGACGATGGAAATCTGATGAACCAGAAGGCTGCTCTGGACTGTTCTGATTGTATGCTCATCTTTGTCTAGGGAATGCACTCACCCAAAGTCAGCACCCTAGTTCTATCTGCTCCCCTTTCTGAAGAGTAGAGAGTATAGGGTTCCTGGCTCTGTAGAGAACATAGCCATTTTTTTCCTCCCTTTTTACAGATGAGTTGGTGGAGGCAGGGATATAAAGCAACGGAAAGATAATTTAGTGTCTTCTCCATGGCGCAATAGATGGCAGCTATTATCAACCTATGGATTTCTCCTAACAAGTCTTGAGAGCAGTGGATGATGGAAGACTATGGGGACAGGGGAAGACATTCAGCCTCCTGGACCATTTCTCTCCTTTTCTACAAATGGCTCTATCACTACAGATCAACCCTGGCTTGATGCTTCAACTTGGAATATTTTTGGCTTCATAACAGTGTGAAATGATAGACTCTCATTTTGAATTTGGACTTTTTTCTCAGACTGGCAAGATGTGGCCCAGGTTTTTTGGAAATGCTGGTAAGTGGCCATGAACTTCAGCCTACAGTCATACACAGCCACTACTCCACAGGACACCATGGGACTAAGCTGCTACATGTGGTAAATTATGGGTATTAAATGCATGTTTGGCTGGATAATATTTTCAACTTACACTGGATTAATCCAGACACGGCCCTGCCTTAAGTCGAGGAACATCTGTATTCTCAGCTCATGAGGTCTTGGGAAGATTAAAAGTCAGTGTGTGCTAAACAATTAGAACACTGCTTCCCACCCACCAAATGGCAAACATTAGTTGGGATAATATTATTAATATTTATTATTAAAAGATGGTTTTCCTTCAGATAAGACCAAGGAAGTTCACGAATAAGCTCATGGTGAAATGGCTCTCTGGAACTTGGTACAATGTAAGGAAAAGCCTGGAGTTACCTGTTACTTAATACTTGTTTTTGGCAGTCCTAGGGATTGAGCCCAGGGCCTTTCTAAAACCATACAAAGGTTCCCTTACTGGACTATGTCTCTGACTTCCAATTAAACACTTTTGAGACAGGGTCTCATTAAATTACCCAGGCTGGCCTTGAACTAAATCTATAGCCCAGGCAGGCCTTGAACTTAGGCCTGTAACTTAGGCCTTGAACAGTACCACTGGGTATGAGACTTTTGAGATTATGACAATTGTTATTTTAGTTAAATATTTTCATAAAATGTTTTTTTCACTAGAAAATGTCATGATCCTTTTTAGAAGCAATCGTGTGATGGGATTGGACCCTCAGCCTCTTTGCTGGTTCCATGCTTTACCCACTCTCCTGTAGTCCCCAGTCCAGGTGCTCCTGAGCTGGAGGCCAGGTCTGGTATGTCCTCCAGTCCCGAGCACTATGTCCCTCTCTTATATCAGTGTATCTGCTGTCTTCTCCATTCCACACAGCCCAGCCTACCCCTGTTCTTGGTTTCTTATGCTCCATGTCACAGTTCTGTCCTCCCCTCCAACTTAAGGTCAAAGCCCAGGACAGAGCATGCTCTTGGGAGCCACAAATGGATGCCAGGTGTGCAGACACCAACACCCTCAGTCTTCACAGCAGAGTTTGAGGGAACTGCTGCTTGGCCAACATCGTCACAAGACCCCCCCTAGAATGCCAAACATGGTAGTTTCTGTGTCCCTGGAAAAAGCCTGGGAAGCACTATCCTAGCACTACCTGTCTAAAAGATTCTCTGTTTAGACAGTCGTTTCTTCACCTCTGTTGTCTAACTTCCTGCAATCCAGTGCTTCACTCTTGGTGGATGGACCTTTGGTCAGGTGCTAAAGCAGATCACAAGGGAGAGTGGAACAGTACAGGAACAGTACAGGAACAGTACAGGAGCTCCAGATTCCTGGGGACCAGGTGAAGCAGAGGAACCTTTAACTTGAACTCCACACCTTGAGCTGTTCCACAAGAGAGCTCCTTCATTCATGGACCTGTGCTACAGCCACTCAGTCCCTACCCACAGCCTGCCTGCCACTGCCCGCTCCTTTCTCAATGATCCTGGCCCCTGAAAATCACAGGCAGTGGTGAGTCGGGGAAGGAGGTGGGAGGTTAACCCCCTCATTGATTTGCTGTTGCGGGAGAGAATTAAGGGCCAGCGCAGTCATACTGGTGTTTCATAGGAACTATTGCAGGTCTCAGGGTCCTTTAGATCTTTCTCTTTTTCCTTGGGGGCTAGTCCCCATACAGAATGTAAATCAGCCAGGGGTGATCCCAAGAGGTAACAGTGCAGAGAGGACAACTTACTCCTTTTCCCCAGTCAGCTTGGCGATGTATTTGATCTGTTCTCGCAGCTTGCTTCCCAGTTTCTCATTGGCAATCCTGTAATAAAGCACACAAGGGAACAGTGGCTCTTCCCTAGATGGTGAGAAGTTGAGCAATGGGCACTGGTCCTTCCCCCATCACTTCATCCCTGAGCGAGAGTCTTGTGAGTCCTTGACAGCTGAAGACCCACACTCCAATGACTGCATACATTTTCAAAGGAATGGGTTCAAGGGGCCCACACGAGACTGGATCCCAACTTGGGAAGAGGAAGCTTGTAGCTCAAAGAAGTGTGCCTTGCATCTGATGCTACCCTGTCCCTGTGTTGCAGGCTTTGCAAACCTGCAAACCTGCCTGGAGGGGTTGAGACCCCTCTGATTCCCAACCCTCGCGTGTGGGTGAGTTCTCCGGCAGGCATAAGTGATTGGTCACTGTGGTTCTCGGTTCAACCTGGCCTTGGGACCCGCCCTACTTTTGTCTGGAATACTTACTTCTGCTCCTTTGCCCATTGTTCCATGTTGCACATAATCTGATCATTCTCCCGGTGGAGCCTACAGGTTTCTTTGGCTGTTCCCCTTTGGGACACGGAGCATGGCTTTGCACACAAGAAGAAAATGAGACTATAAGGGATGGGAACACTGACTGCCTCCTCCCTCCCCCAAATCTGGATTCTTCTTTCTGAGAAAAAAAAAGTCAACTCTGTTGCCCGGCCTGAGGCAGAGTTGCCATATGCAGGACCTTTATTCCACATAGCAGTGACATGCCTGGGGAGGCATCATTCATCAAAGACATGGTAGACCTGTATGCTTACAGTAATGGTTCTCAGACTAATTGGCAGTGAAGTGACTTGTTCTAAAACAGGATTCGGAGTTGATGTCACTGCAAATGGAAGAATCAGGAAAAAGAGGTGCTTCATTTTAATTTAAAAAGGGTCCTGTGGCCACCTCAGGGTGTCCCAAGACTCTATGCCATGAATGGCATTGCTTGGGTTGTTGGAGGTGGAGGCATATCTCAAAGGCCACTTAGCCAATTGAATGGCAAAACCTGGTAGGATGTGCCCAGAAGAGGGAGAACTAGGGGTTATGAGTGGCAGCTGATGTACCTGAGTCCTGCTGAGTCTTGGTCAATATCTATCAACAAGGTCACAGGAAAATAGGTGAGTTGAGGGGTGGCCGGAAGTGTCCAGATTCTGTTTCCAGCAGAGTAGTGCGTGAGCATGTGAGTGTGCGAGTGTGTGTGTGTGTGTGTGTGTGTGTGTGTGTGTGTGTGTGTGATGTGGTGTGGTGTGTGTGGTGTGTATGTGGTGTGTGTGTGTGGTGTATGTGGTGTGGGTGTGTGTGTGTGGTGTGTGTGTGTGTGTGGTGTATGTGGTGTGGGTGTGTGTATGGGTGTGTGTATGGGTGTGTGTATGGTGTGTGTGTGTGGTGTGTGTGTATGTGTGTTTTGTTCCTAGCATATACATCAACTTCCCAGTCAAGGGTAGAGAGCAAGTGACAGAATCCAGACAGTGCCCACCTCCTTCTCATCTGCAAGGAGGTTCTCTTTAAGGGTAGTCATTTCCTCCTGGAATTCCCGTAGCTGTGTCTCTTTAGCTGCCAGCATCTTGAGATCACACTGGTGCTGCTTCTGCCATTGCAGCACCTGGCTGCTCATCTCTTCCAGTTTCTTGTCAAAGGTGCTCACCTGCTCAGGAGTGCAAAGTGAGGGGGTGGGCAGGGGCGGGACCAGGCAAGGTGGAGGGTGCCCTGTCTGCACTGGAAGCTTAGCTTAGAGTGTGTGCCTTTTATTTCCAGTGACCAGCAGAGGGCACCCCTGCTCTGACCTTCCTGCCTGCCTGCCATTCCAGAAGCAGAGAAGGTGGAGTGAACTCAGCAGCCAAAGGCTATGGCTGAGTGCTAAATAATTCTGCATGTAAAAGGTGACTTTGTAGACCTCTAACAGAAAGGCAGCCCACACCCCCAGACTCTCACCTCTTGCTCACTCTGCTTGTGGAAGCACTGTAGTTTTTTTAATTCCACATTGAGCTTTTTCATCCTTTCCTCATAAGCCATGATTTCATCTTCCAGCTGAGCTTTCCTCTCTTGGGTCTGTTGCAAGCTGCGCTGCAGGATCTTTGTCTCGGAGGTTGCATGAGTGATCTTCCGGAAAAGAGAGAGTGTATTAGAGTGGCCACAGGGTCCCTTGGCCTTCTCTGCTAAGTCTTTAGTGCACAAAGTTCCGGACCCTCCCTGTCCTCTGCCCATGGTGGTGCTGGTGTTCCGGAAGGTGGACAGGGACAGTGATTAGCATTCTGCACCTCCCTCCCCAGTTTTTCATCCCTTCTTCCATTTTCTTTCTTTCTACTCCTATACACTGATTTTCAGAGATGATGCAAGAATTTCTCTGGTAATCTGACTTTGGGATAAACCCTGTCTCCAAATCACCCATGAGTGGGAAGATTTGTTAAGAATTGCCATCTCTGCCATCCCACAACAAAGACAAGGACAACAGCATATAAAGTTAAGAGGACGTAGGCCTTCATTGGGCAGACACCCGTCTGTCACAGCAAGGCTTGAGAAGCGAATTGTCAGTCTTACAAGGAATTGGCTTCTGCCCACTCCTAATCCTTGAATTTCTTTGAATACTTTCTTGGTGAAGAGTAGGTGTGGTCTCACCTTCTCCAAGGCTTTCGTCAGATCATCTTGGCAGATGCCCGACTTCCGCAAGACATCTTCATAGACTTCTTTACTGACCATGGTCTGGAGGCAGTTCTTTTCCTTCTGAATGGCTGAGTCCAGCTGCGTCTGCAGAATCATGATGGAATCTTTCTGGCGGGCTATCTGCGGGGAACAAGAACTTCACTGCCGAGGCTGTTTCTGACCACAGATGTATGGCTGTAGGAGGTAGACAAGAGTTGGGCTTTCTGCCATAAATGGCTGAATATCTGTGTTCATGATCACATCTTCATCTCACTGTTAGGAAAGTCATAGTTCTTTCTGAGTGTCTCTGTATCACTCCAGCCATATTTTCCTTCCTGGCTACCATATCTTCAATAGCAGAAGCCCTGGCACATGCTAACCACACAGAATATGTTTCCCAGATATAGAGATGTCAGTCTGGGCCAGGGAAACAGCCCAGTCCACACAGTGCTTGTGAGGACTTTAGATTCCTAGAACCTATTTAAAAACGACGAGTCTTGGGGATGGAGAGATGGCTCAGTGGTAAGAGCGTTGGCTGCTCTGTTGGGACACCTAGGTTCAATTCCCATTACTTACATGGTCGCTACAACCCCCAGTCCAGGGGGATCTGATACCCTCTTCTGGCCTCCACGGGCATTGCATGCTTGTGGTACACAGACATACAGGCAGGCATACCATACATACACATAGAATTAAAACAAACATATGCTGGGTATGGTAGTATGCTCCTATAATTAATCCCAGTGCTGGGGAGGTAGAGAATGTGGAGCTCTGGGACTCAAAGCAGACTAGCCTATTTGGTGATTTCTAAGCCACTGGGAGACCCTGTCTCAAAAAGAGAAATAAAGACAGATAATACCTGAGGAACTACACCTGAAAGTTGTCATTTGGTCTTCTCATGCACGCATACTCATGTTCATGAATACACGTGTGCAACTGCACACACAGTAGAACCCAACACCAGGCTAATAGATATGATCCAGCATTTCAGTTACCCAGCCCTGTATGTGCTTTAGTCATCTCTTCCTCCTTGGAGCATAACACACAATAGCCACACAACAGTCATATAGCAAACGTTAAGTTTTTGTTTGAACGTAGTTACATTGTTTATTTGAAGATTCAAATATTTTATGGGTCAAGGGGGTCTACCAAACACAACTCTCACAGTAGTGTATTTAAAACAACTGTGCACATTAAACTTGGCAGTGAGCATACTGGGGTGGGTAAAGGCGGCTGAGATGTGGAATCACAAATCTGGGTTGAGGTCCAGGTTCTGTCACTCATTTCTCAGGCCTCAGCTCTGTCTTCACAGACAGGGAATCTTTTAACTGTTTCATACAGTGTTTGCGATGTCCAAATGAGTTGATGCATGTGAAAAGACTCTGTAATGTATGTCACCATATGGGTGGGAATTGAATGAGATGAGTCACCTCCTTGCAGACTTTAAGAGATCTGTTCCTATGTCTGGAAGCAGAAGGAACCCTTCAGAGTGTGTAGCCACTAAGCTGTCCTTGCTTCTTTGCCTGTCTCACAGTCAGAACACCAGCCACCCTTCCCCAGCAGCACCCTAATCTGCAACCCTCCCAGCTGGTCCCCCACATCTGCACTTCCCCACTTCCCCAGCCCACGTCCACACATTAGTCAGAGTTCCATGTGTCTGGTCTCTGAGGAAACTCTATCAATAGCTTCTCATGGTTCTTAAAATACAACTCAGATTTTAACAGAGGCCGTGATACTTACCTTTCCAGTCTTATATACCAATGTCTTTATCAATACATTCCAGTTGCACTGGCCTTATTTCACTTCCTAGATTATTTTAAAAGAGAGATACATGATACACAAACGGGACTCAAACTAGAAACACAAACATGAGCCAAAATTATGGTTACTTTTACCATAGTACTGAGTTAAGGAGAAAGATGGCATTGTTATCATAACAGAAAACAAAGAAGCAAACTAGGCACCTGTTGGAATTCAAAACCCTATACTGACAAACCTTTTAGTAAATGAGAAGCTGAAGAGCTTGAGATAAATGTAGCAAGAATCTCATAGGGCACACTGTATTGATACAGATGCATTACATTAAGAGTAAAGAAGGAGATGCCTACTACTCCTCTGTCCGCCTAACATACTGTGCAGTGGGACAAGGCAAGAAAAATAAAACAAGATAAATATTACAAAGAAATATTTACATGTTGTTTGCAAATGATTTAATTATCTACTAAAAGGAATCCATAAACTGGATGATGTGGTGCATGCCTGTAATCCCAGCATGCAGGAAGTAGAGGGGAGGATCATGAGTTTGAGGACAGCCTGCGCTACACAGTGGGACCCTGTTTCAAAATAGAAAAGTTCATGATCCAAGCATGTAAAAGGCCTGGGGTTTGATCCCTTACACTACACTACACTACACTACACTACACACACACACACACACACACACACACACACACACACACAATATCACACATCTTGTGAAAATAAGCTGAGAGACTATTACAACTTATAAATAGGCTTACCAAGATGTTCAAACAGAGAATTAATATATAGAAATGAATGAGGTTTTATATTCATATTAAACAAAATAAAATACTGTGGGAACATGATATAATCAGATAAAAAGTTCTGAATATGTGTTTCCTTATTTTCAAACAGCAAAATTGAAAATGAAATCTGGACTACTGATTAGAGGAAGTACATGTTTAGAAAGTGAACCTCAGCTTTTTTCTAATAGCTATTTCAACTGATTCAGTGGATCTACATTAAAAAGTTGAATATCCTTACACACCAAAATGCAAATCCTCTTACTTTTTGAGGAAAGAATTATGGTATTGGTGCTCTTACTTCTAAATCCACAGGGCTAACTTTTGACATCAGGCTCATACAGAACATTTTAGTAGCATTCCTTCGATGGAAGGAGGGTTCTCAGGGAGCTGAATGGCTGAGAACTCAAGATCTGCCAGAGGACAACACTCCAAGAATGCCAGTACCCAAGACCTGTGCTGTTTGAACTTAAAATGAGTTCATATTAATTAAAAGGACAAAGCAGGTTCCTCAGTTCTCAGTGGCAAGATGTGGCTAGTGGTCACATTACTCTCAGCTTAGACACAGCCAGGCACAAGGTGCTGTTGGGAAGTGCTCATCTTAAGCTTTGAATAGTCCTACGATTTCAGATCTTTTTGTATTATGAAAGATTAAGGGATGCCTGGGTTTTCTTTTGTGGCTCAAGAGACCTGCCTACTATATGTTTTTTTCTTGTCCAGAAAGGTATAATGTATTCCGCCGGGGAAAGCATCACTGTGCATGACGGAGAAAAAGGACAGGCATTAGAGTTGGATGATCCAAGTTCAAACACTGTTTGTCCTGTTGCTTGCTAATTAGTGGCCCTGGGATTCAGCCTTTCTTTCCTTTGTATATGGGGGATCACAGTGATGTATACTTTGTTAAGAGTCAAGCAGAGGAAAGATATGTAAAGAGAATGGCTGAATTCAAGCACATTTCCTAGAGCATGTCACAGCCCCTTGACTTTCATCTGCATAATGAACCATGAGCTGGGATGAAATGACCCTCCCCCAGCACCTTGTGTGCCTTGCAATTAGTTTGGAGAATATTCTCTCTCAAGTGGCTCCAAAAAACTAATTCACTCAGTACTTTGTCTAATTGGTAACTCTGAAAGACTTGGCAGAAAATTCCAGGTAGTTTGGGGTGGGGGCTCCCCAAGCACAAAATGAAACCTGTTATTTAAGGAAGAAAAAACTGTACCCTCAGACACCAGGGTTTGTAGCCACTACCCTCCCCCCCATTAAAAGACAGAGAGGAGCTGCGGGGCCTCAAGCATGTATAGGCAGCCAAGCCTGCTATTAAAAGTTGGGGTCTGCTCTTTGGGGTGTCTACTCACCTCTACATTGAGCTCTTGGATGGTTTTCTGGGAGGTGTTGTATTTGTTGATGGAGGATTCCAGGTGTGAAGTACAGACATTCAGTTCTGTCTGGAGATTCTCCTTCTCGTCTTCCAGCTTCCTCAAATGCTCTTTTGCCTGCTCTCCCATTAAATAGTAAAGCCCACCCCCACCACCAGAGAGCATGGTCAGCCTGAGACTCCTCTCCTTCCTGCCCCTTACCTCCTCCTCTGTCCTGTGGTTCCTCAGGTGTCTTCCCCTCTCCTTCTCTCCATCCCCTTCTGAGCCCCCAGGCTGCCTGTCTGTCACCCTTTAGGCTCTGGATTCACAGTCTGCTCTCTCCAGGTCCAGCCCTCTCACCATCTTTTCTTTCTTTTTTGCTTCGTGTCGCAAAGCCTCAATTTCTGCCTCCAGGGCCCTTTCCTGTTCCTTGCTCTTTTTCAGTTGTTCCCGTTTCTCCAACAGCATCCCTTTTATCTCCTGAAACTCCTCTTCCAGCTTGTTTTTGGTGTTTGTTAGTTCCCTTTGCTGAGGAAAAAACAAAAACAAACAAACAAACAAATAAAACAAAAACAAAGGTCAGGTTGCAAGATAATCTTAGACTATTATACTTTGGAAAAGAAATCCAGACAGTTCTACACAGGGAGGGGTGAGGAGGTTTGCCTTGATACTCTCTCTGTAACATCTTTCTTTGTTTAACTAAACCGATTTATTTATGGGCCCAGTTCCTATAATGTGGACCTTCTTGTCCATTAGGCCAACTCTTCACATAAAAACCTCTTTTAATAAAGTGAATCTTAGACAAGCACAAAAGAATATGTGGGAGGTCAAAGGCTGTCAAGTAATGGACAAGGACAGCCCTCCAATTCTCATCAGAAGAGCAGCAGAGGCCCAGGACATAGGTCAGTGGGCAAGCATTGACTGCAAGCAAACAGGAATCGGCCAACCCTGGTTTGAATGAAAATGTCCCTCACAGGTTCCTGCATTTGAACACTTGGTCCTCAGTTGTTAGCACTGTTTGGAGTGGTGTGGGGGACAGGAAATGTGGTCTTGCTGAGGGGAGTATGTCACTAGTGACTGGGCTTTGAGAATTTAAGGTCTTGTCCTATTCCTGCTTTGTGCTCATGGTTCAAGATATGACTCACAGCATCCTTCTCTAGCCAGTGTGCCTACCAAATTCCTGTCCCCAACCCCATGATGGACTCTAACCCTCTGCAACATAAGCCCAAGTAAACTCTTTCTTCTCTAAGTTTCCTTGGTCATGATGTTTTATCACAGCAATAGAAAAGCAACTACTATTACAACAACCTACACTGTCCTCTGGTTACTTTTAAGCTTAATCCTTGAAAATGCATATGACCAGTCATGGGAACTGGTCAGGAGTGGCTGGGGTAACAGTCTAACACAAGTTCTGGGACTTAATAAAGACTGACTTGCACCTTTCCGCCGAACCATCAGCAACTAGGTGAGTGACCCCCTGCTTTTACCCAACTCCTGTCCAAAGCGCCATTCACCCAGATCTCCCAGGCTTGTCCCTGCTTGAAATAGACATGCCCAGGCAAGGAGGAACTCCCTGAATCTGGGTACAGGCCACTCTTCCTTCCCTTCCTGCCGACTGATCCACAACGAGGTGAGTGATCCACCGCTCTTAACCAACTCCCTTTCAAAGCCCCATCCACCCCAATCTCCCCGGGCCTGCTCCTGCTTGGGGTAGACCTGCCCAGGCAGTGAGGAACCTCCAGAGCCTGGAAACACCCCACTCTTACTTCCTGTCCCACCCCCACACACCCGATCCCTATGGAGGCCTAACTCCTTCAGAGTGAGGAGACTACCAGGAGAGGCAAGACCATCCAGAGCTTCAGACATTGAATTCCTGGCCCACACACACTACTGTGTAACAAGAGGAGATAGAGAGACCCCCACCTGCACTCACTGGAAAACGATATGGGAAGAAGACAGAATAAGAACTCACTCAACAACAGAAAGACCAATATGACACCACCAGAATCTAGGGACTCCACTCCAGCAAGATCTGAAAAGCCCAACACAGTGCATGAAGAA